TATATAAACATTTTACAATATAATGACTGTATGTTGTCCCGTGGTTTTAAGAGAGGATTGTGTTTTGTTTTGTTTTTGTTTTGTTTGTTCGTTTGTTTGTGCTGATAAACATATTTAATAATGTGCCTTCCAGCAGATTTCTACTGAAGCAATATGGTTCACATGGTTAAAGAGGTCAAGTTTTCCTCTTGTACTGAATGTGTTGGACTGAATGTTGGAGACTTGATGAGAAATACTGCTTTAAAATATTTATAATTAATACAACAATGTGAAAAAAACAGCCCAACCACTTTCTATTATTTACACTTCAAACCTATCCTGGAGGGTTCTGTTTTATTAAAACAATCTTTTTATTGGTTTAATCTGTTCGTACTGTGGCTCATAACATTTGTTTGTTATCCTGTCTGCTTGCAGGTAGAAGCCCTGGAGGCTCTGTTGGACCGGATGAATAATCATATCTCTTCCACAGAGAAGAGAGGGAGCATTCCTCTGGTAACTCCACTTTATTTCACATTAATATTGATCAAATGCAGCTTCTTTTAAGAGTGTGATTTACTCAGTCACAGGACCATGCTGAGTCATTATTCTCTACTGCAAACATCATTCTACTGCTTTTTAATTAAACGTATTCTGCCTGTGATTAAAAGATAAGAAGAAAATCCGAACAGCAGTCTTTCACTCTGTAATTAGAGGCCAAATAAAGATTAGTGTCTTATTTCAATTAGCATTAAAGGTGGAAACAAACACACTACAAAACCTTTTCAGTCCTCTGTGAACATTAATCAAACTGTTGCCATCAGGCTCACTTTGAGCAGAATCTAATTGTTTGGATGAAAAATGTGGAGTTGATTTGTTTTCTGTCTTGAATTTCACCAAAGGGAATAAAGCGCTTAATGGAGCAATGTAAACAACATATTTGCATAATTAATGATGTTAAAAGAGAATTTCTCAAAAATGGCAGCCATCATTTACTTAAACAGCATTTTGAAAAAACAAATTCACCACTTGAACTTGAACATTTTGTTGTGTTGGAACCATAAACATCAAAATATTTTACTGGGATTTTATATGCTTTATAAACAGATCAACACAAAGTACTGCATAAATGTAAAGTGCTAGGAAAATTTTACATTTCTCAATTTTCTTTTCACACATAAAAATCAAAAAATATACAAAAATGTGGCATTTGAATTTAGCCCCATTTACTTTGATACATGTTATTAAACTTTAGAGCAGAAGTTGTTCATACACTGAGTCCCCCTGTGTGTCWTTGAATCTCAGTCCAAACAGATGTTCTGTGAAGGCCWCAGAGATTTGTTACACATCAGTAATAAAACAGCATTGTGAACAAGAAGGAACCCACCAGACAGGTCAGGGACGAAGCTGTTGAGAAGTTTAAATCAGGTTTAAATTATGAAACAATATCTCAAGATTTATCTTATGGAGCTCTACTCTGTTCATCATCTGAAAATGGAAAAAGTATGGCACGACTGCTAAAGTACCAAGACATGGCCAAGCAAGGAAACAAGAATAATCTAGGCTAGGCGAGAAGATCTACAATAAAGATACTAACCTCGAGTCATGCAGGTTAAATCCACACGTTTACAGCTACAGAACAAAAGTCCAGTTGCTTCGTCTTTGTTCTTTCAATGTCCCCTGTCCTGGATGGCYGACCAAAGTTACCCCAAGAGCACAGCTCACGACTCATCCAAGAGGTCACAAAGACCCCACAAYGACATCCAAAGACCTGCAGGTCTCATCTGCCTCAGTTAATGTCAGCGTTCGTCATCCACCATATGAAAGATACTGAGTAAAAATGGATCGCAGACGGCAGAATTCCAAGTCGAAAAAAACTACTGAGCAAAAAGAACGTAAAGGCTCGTCTCAGTTTTGACAGAAAACATCTTAATGATCCAAAACCTTTGGGAGAATTCTCTGTGGACTGACGAGACACAACTTGAATGTTTTGGAAGGTGTAAGTCACATAACATCTGGTGTAGAAGTAACAGCATTTCAGAAAAAGAACAACATAGCTACCAACAGTAAAACATGGTGGTGGTAGAGTGATGGTCTGGTATGTTTTGCAGCTTCAGGACCTAGAAGACTTGCTGTGATGAATGGAACTATGATTCCTTCAGTCTACCAACAAATCCTGAAGGAGAACGTCTAGCTTTCTGTTCATGACCTCAAGCTGAAGCCCACTTGGGTTCTGCAGCAGAACATTGGGCCTCGTGCAAGAACATTTTCTTATTCTTATCCTAAATTTCTCTTACTTTTGTTCATAYGAACATGCCACATCAGATTCAACAAACTCTACTATCTTCAGGAAAAGTGCTTTAATGAGCAACGTAAACATGATGAATGCCACCTGTTCGTGTCCAGGTGCTCACGCATGAGGAGAGGAGATTAGCATAATTACCACCCCAAAAACACCAAATAAGGCTACGTTTTTGGCCCCAGATACCAGGAAGTGTTCATTCATAAATAACATCACAAAATAAAAAAGAGGAACTTTACGAGTTCAGAGATTGAAGTCCTGCTCTCAGAGATCCAGAAAAGAAAATGTGTCTTT